ATACCTGTCATCCAATAGGTCCTCAATAGTGTCGGCGTATATCTCGGGTCGGGTCACCATATTTGCCAACAAATCATTTTGTATGACATAAACCAATTGCGTGATACATATGAGCCAAATTAGATAAAAATAATTACGGTGACCCAGGTCTTCGCCAATCATTAACAGGGGTTTAAAGTATATCCATACAAACCCAAACAAAGTTGTACTGGTACGTTTATTTGTGAATTTGCTTGAATACATGTGTGTAATGAATAGTGCGATCAATGCTGTAATGATGGCAAACCAGACATATCTGTCTAAACCCTTATAGATGTCCAAAATTGGAGGCAAGTGTTCAACGTTTACGGGACTTATGATATTCAACGCGTTTGACATATAAAGTGGTCTTGAACACGAGTATGGTAAATGTTGAGTGAACCATATATAATTCATTGGTGTAAAATCATAGCCAGTTACTTGTCCATCCATTATCAACCCTCTCCTAATTCAGATTAAGTCATCATCAATACATTTGAATACGTATAGGTGTACGCTATAAGAGTATTACAATTTTACATTTAATATTGTATCCAATTTTATACCTGTGGTTCACCAATTTACCAAGCTCTATCAAAACGGGTACTATTAACGAGCTATAATATGCAGCATTTTCACCATCAACAGGGTAATATTCTCTCTAGAAATTATTTGATAGACAACTCATAGTAAATGACATGATTAGTAAATTTATATTTACACTCTTTTGAGTAGTCAGAAAATGCCAATAAGCAAAATGATGTGATGATATGGACTTGTACATATTACCAAGTTTTATTATATCATTTAATGATATCGGACCCATTTTAACACTATTTTATTTATTACAATTTTTATTTAAAACTAATTTTTATACACAATCTTAATTAACTGGTTACTAGATATAACAATAATTTCTAAAATAATTTATTACATGTATTAAAATTACTGTAATATTGTAGTAGAATATTAGCTTGTAAGTTTATAAGAAAACTTATTAATAACTTTTAGATAATTTATGTAAACCAATAACAAAGTCATTAGTTGCGAAATAACTAATTAATTTAATAATTAATAATTAAATAAGCAATTATGTTTTGTAATTAGTATTGATTAAAAATGTTAACTTATTTTTAATAAAGCAATTAAATATAACGCAATACAAAATTACTGGCAATTAATTTAAGAAAATACAGTATAAACAATATGTACTACATGTATACTGTATTATAAATATTTTAAACATTTCAATATAACTAAAATATTCAAGTTACTTTATATTTATTAATTTTGTTTATATTTCGACAAATACAAAGTTATCGGAAACAAATTGAGAAATATGTATAAATTATGATAAAAACAATTAATACATTAAACCGATTACCCAAATACTGAGGCCATACATAATAAATTGAACTATTGATTGCATTTCATTCAATGATAATTGAGTGTCGGATATGTCAATTTAATCTTGGTAAATATTACCCACAGTCAATATAAGTCATGTTAACATTCAACACATATTTATGCCAATAAGCGAAATGATGGGACTCTATGTACTCGTATTAGGGCTGACATGTCAGATATGTCAAGTTAATCTTGGTAAATATTACCCGCAGTCAATATAAGTCATGTTAACATTCAACACATATTTATGCCAATAAGCGAAATGATGGGACTCTATGTACTCGTATTAGGGCTGACCACCTATTTACAGAGCCCGGGAGGACAAATTGCCAAAATTGAGGCAGGTCACGAGGATATTGGGAGGACAAGAAAATATTTATTTTTAATTTTGTCTCATGTACCCATATATCGTATTCTTTGATAACAAAATTACAAATTTTGTGAAAAATAACAGGATTGTTACTAAAGTGTATAAAATATAAGTGTAGTTTTCATTACAATTTATATGTCATAAATGTTTAAATTGATTATTATGTTTTGATTAAATAAATGTTATCATTCATAAAAATAGCAATTAATTTTAAAATATTATAAGAATATCATTAAATTAAACTTATAATTGTATTTTGATTTGTAGTATTTCGATTAAAATTTTATATTACAGTTTACTAATAAATAATTCAATGTTAAAATCAAATCATTATAAACAATATTAATATTACAGTTTGAAACATATAGTGCATTATAAAATTTAATTTAATGACATTCTTATAATATTTTTTAATTAATTGCTATTTTTATGAATGATAACATTTATTTAATCAAAATAATTAATATTATATGCAATTTATACATAATATATATGAAAAATAAAACAAAAAATTTTGCACCAAGGTGGGATCGATCCAGTTATCAAAAGGTAAGCAGGGAATAGCATAAGAAACTATTGTTTTAATGTTTAAAACACTTTTTATTGTCCTAACAATGATTTCACATATTTTATATTCACATCAAAAGTAATGTTAAATATACAGTATTTACAAATTTAACTAATAATGGATGTTCGCCATTTTGCAAATACCAGATTAGTATCACTAGGTTAATTGGTATGAAAAAATAACATTTTGCACAATATTATGAAAATTCAGTTGCTCCTGGTCACCGAAAAACCCGATAATATTTTTGATTATCTATTATTAATATAAATAGCACTTTAATGCAATATAACTTTAAACAATTTCAGTGGCGGAATGGTAGAGTGTCGCCCTGCTTACCTTTTGATAACTGGATCGATCCCACCTTGGTGCAAAATTTTTTTGTTTTATTTTTTACATATATTATGTATAAATTGCATATAATATTAATTATTTTGATTAAATAAATGTTATCATTCATAAAAATAGCAATTAGTTTTAAAATATTATAAGAATATCATTAAATTAAACTTATAATTGTATTTTGATTTGTAGTATTTCGATTAAAATTTTATATTACAGTTTACTACTAAATAATTCAATGTTAAATTCAAATCCTTATAAACAATATTAATATTACAGTTTGAAACATATAGTGCATTATAAAATTTAATTTAATGACATTCTTATAATATTTTAAAATTAATTGCTATTTTTATGAATGATAACATTTATTTAATCAAAATAATTAATATTATATTCAATTTATACATAATATATATGAAAAATAAAACAAAAAATTTTGCACCAAGGTGGGATCGATCCAGTTATCAAAAGGTAAGCAGGGCGACACTCTACCATTGCGCCACTGAAATTGGTTCAAGGTATACTGCATTAAAGTGCTATTTATATTACTAATAAATAATCAAAAATATAATCGGGTTTTTCGGTGATCAGGAGTAACTGAATTTTCATAATATTGTGCAAAATGTTATTTTTTCATACCAATTAACCTGGTGAATTTAGGTGATCAGGAGCAACTGAATTTTCATAATATTGTGCAAAATGTTATTTTTTCATACCAATTAACCTAGTGATACTAATCTGGTATTTGCAAAATGGCGAACATCCATTATAAGAATCAAATAATAATTCACACATAATTCACAAATTAAACCGATTACACAAATACCGAGACTATAGATCATGAATACGAATAGCGATTGCGTGTCATTGAGGTATATATCATTGTATCCGTCGGTAATATTAGCGTAAAAGTCATAAATAGTTTTGCCTCTAAAGAATCCATTTGTAATTATGTTTATGCTCATTTCGAAATAAAACTTTCCTTTCAAATGATACCAGTATTGCAAAAGTGATGTCTCGTATAAACGCTGAGCACTACTCATGAAATAATTAAAAAATACATATTTATTAATTATATATTAATTTGTGTTGTAAGTTATGAGTGTATTGTAATCTGACTAATTATTTGAGTTTCCACCCAGGAACACATAGGGGTGTTATAGGGACTGACAGGTACTGTTGGCCCACATGTATGGCCATAAATCTTGGAAAGTATCGCTCGATTACATCCATCGACATCTGGTCCTCAATCAACACTTTATTACTGAAAAATGTACGCAATTTTTGCGGACTCTCAAAAACTTCTGAAATTACATCCATTAATTGCTTGATATCCCAGGTCCTCAACCTAGTGGTGACCAGTTTGACAAAATTATCTCTGAATGAGTTGTTACCAAAGCCCTCATAAAATACCGGTTCCCTCCACTCGACTTGTTTGAATTCATCGGTGTATACCTCATACCTATCATCTAATAGGTCTTCAATAGTGTCGGCGTATATCTCGGGTCGGGTCACCATATTTGCCAACAAATCATTTTGTATGACATAAACCAATTGCGTGATACAAATGAGCCAAATTAGATAAAAATAATTACGGTGACCCAGGTCTTCGCCAATCATTAACAGGGGCTTAAAGTATATCCATATAAACCCAAACAAAGTTGTACTGGTACGTTTATTTGTGAATTTGTTTGAATACATGTGTGTAATGAATAGTGCGATGAATGCTGTAATGATGGCAAACCAGACATATCGGTCGAAACCCTTATAGATGTCCAAAATTAGAGGCAAGTGTTCAACGTTTACGGGACTTATGATATTCAACGCGTTTGACATATAAAGTGGTCTTGAACACGAGTAATTATATTGCGTTTCCCATAGATAATTCATTGGTGTAAAATCATAGCCAGTTACTTGTCCATCCATGATCAACCCTCTCCTAATCCAGATTAAGTCATCATCAATACATTTGAATACGTATAGGTGTACGCTATAAGAGTATTACAATTTTACATTTAATATTGTATGCAATTTTATACCTGTGGTTCACCAATTTACCAAGCTCTATCAAAACGGGTACTATTAACGAGCTATAATATGCAGCATTTTCACCATCAACAGGGTAATATTCTCTCTAGAAATTATTTGATAGACAACTCATAGTAAATGACATGATTAGTAAATTTATATTTACACTCTTTTGAGTAGTCAGAACAGTAAATGTATTTTCATATCTGGGTAATGGCAAGTCTACAAATTTTTGACCATCTGTATATCTGCAGTCAATATAAGTCATGTTAACGTTTTCCACGTATTTATGCCAATAACCAAAATGATGAGACTGTATGTACTCGT